GACTGGTCAAGCCAATCGGGATGCTTCGAACAGCAAGGTTGTCGAGATTTCAAACGAGACCGGAGAAAGATTGACCGTGCAATTGGTGGTGGCCTCAGAGTAACTGGAGGAGGGCAGAATGTTGGCGCAAAACCCGAGGGAAATTCTCCCGCCCCGGCTGCTAGGGCGCGTTGCGACAGGCCAATGTGAGGAAGTGGTGGGCACATGCGCTGTGGCCGTCTAGTCTAGTTCGTTGCTAGTGGGGCCGCAGGTGACAGCTCCAGAGATTCCTGTCGCCTTGGAAAAGGTAGGGCCAATCCTCGAGCCGATGGCAATCGATGCGGGGGAGCTGGGATCCCAAGGAAGAGAGTCGATTGGGCGTTCGATCGGCGCAGACAATCTGCATGTGGCGCCGCGAGGGGATCCGTCCAATCCGGTGCTGGGCGCGTCGCTTGTGGATAAACAGGTTGCGGATCCAAGGCATGATAACGCGATGGAGGTGCATGCGGTGGTGTCACCTGGCGTGGCCTTGGTAGTGGAGGCCATGCAGCCAGCGGATGGTCACGCGTCGGTCAGGCCCCACCCTGATGGGATTCATGCAAGCTTTGTATGTGACTCTGTTCACGTAGCTACGCCATCGGATGTGCATGCAGAAAAAGAGATGCCTGCCGAGAGGCCTGTGGAAGAGGGCGCCAAAGAGACGTGCTCGGACATTGTAGTGACCAACGACCCAGCCAATGGACTGACATCCAAGGAGGTGGAGATGTACGCGAAGCTCAAGGCTTTCTGCTCATGCATTGTGAAGAAGCTAGCACCACCAATTCTCAAGTAAGTCCAAGCTTCCACCTTGCGGCTTGAGGTAGAACCATTCACCCCCAAAAGAACCACTCGGCAACCAAGAAATCGGCTCCGCAGCACACGCAAAGAGCCACACCTGCGGAGAATGTGCTCCTATGCACGCTGGGAATTGTGCCAGAAGATCTGGAGGTTACGAACACGGCTATGCAAGTGCTCAAGTCGCTCTTCGACTCTCCTCTACGTGAGCAGCATGTACAGGTGATTGCAGCCCTGTTTGGCAAGGCTTTGCCTGGGCAGCTTTCTGGAGCTAGTACCGGAGCGGCGGAGGAAATCGGCGCACACTGAGCGTGCTCCGAGATGGGTGGGGGTGCAAATCTGTTCCATGGATTTAAACCCATAGGTGACGTGCTGGAACGTTCGAGGATTGAACAACCCAGCGAAGAGGCAAGCTGTCAAAGACTTCCTAGTTTCGGTGCGGCCTAACCTAGTGTGTTTACAAGAAACAAAGCTCGATGTAGTCGATAACATTCTCTTAATGCAATGCTATGGACCGTCCTTAGACGGCTTTGCTTATTTACCGGCGATCGATACGAGAGGCGGGATCATTCTTGCCTGGGATATCACCGTGATGCTAGTTAATCACATCTCGCGTGACACGAACTCCATCACTGGACTGGTACACCCCAAGTCAGGAGAGGATTGGTGGGTTATGGTGGTCTATGGGCCACAAGGAGACGACCTCAACACACTATTCCTTGAGGAGCTGACAGCGAGGCAAGCGGCTTGCCTGGGGCCATGGATGGTCCTGGGCGATTTCAACTTAATCCTTAGAGCCTCGGAGAAAAACAATTTGAACCTTAACAGGGCCATGATGAACAAGTTTAGGAGCTTCGTCGACAATAATGAACTTAAAGAGCTCTACATGCATGGGCGTCATTTTACGTGGTCGAACGAGAGAGATGCCCCGGCAATGACAAAAATCGACATGATCCTCGTCTCGGTGGATTGGGAATTGGCGCGGCCAGACTACCTATTGCAAGCACTCTCGGCTAGCGTTTCCGATCATGCCCCACTCCATCTTTCGACAAATGCTACTTACTGGCCGAGGAAAAGATTTCGCTTTGCGAGCTTCTGGGTCAAGCTAGAGGGCTTTGAGCAGGCGGTGAAGGATGCATGGGTTTGCGATCAGGCCATTGTGGATCCTTTCAAGAGACTCGATGCACTCTTCTGGAACGCAGTGGCAGTACTTCAAGCGTGGGGACAGAGGAAAGTAGGGAATATTAAACTTCAGATGGCGATTGCCACGACGGGGATCTATCGCCTGGACCAAGTGATGGAAACTAGAGGGCTTACCGAGTTGGAGACGTGGCTAAGAAGAACCCTTAAGTTATCTCTCCTAGGGCTTGCATCGCTCGAGCGCACGATCAAGAGGCAAAGATCGAGACACAAATGGCTCCGTGAGGGAGATGCCAACACCAAGTTTTTTCAGCTGGTCGCCAACGGGAGGAGAGCAAAGAACTTCATACCCCAGGTTAGGCGAGGTGAGGAGATCGCCACTGATCAGAGCCACAAGGAAGAAATTTTCACAGGGGCCTTTCATAACTTGCTTGGCACGGCACAGGCAAGAGCGCACACGCTAAACCTACAGTCGCTAGGCATGAACATGCTAGATCTGGGGTGTCTGGATGTGCTGTTCACGGACGAGGAGGTTTGGTCAGTTGTCAAGGAGATGGCCCCGGATCGGGCTCCTGGACCGGATGGATTTACTGTCGAGTTCTACCAAAGAGCTTGGCCTATTATCAAGGACGATATTATGGCAGTGCTACTCAAGCTTTGCGTCAGAGATGGCCGTGGATTTGCGAGGTTAAATCGTGCGCTGATTGTGCTAATACCTAAGAAGCCGGATGCCCTAGAAGTGGGTGATTATCGACCGATCAGTTTGCCGCATAGTTTCTCCAAGTTGTTCGCCAAACTCCTGGCTAACCGAATCCGACCGTGCATGAAGGACCTTGTGGCCACCAACCAGTCGGCTTTCATTCATGGCAGAAATCTGCATGATAACTATCTGTTAGTGAAGCAAGTGGCTAGGAAAATACACGCCAGAAAGAACAGAGGTGTTTTTCTCAAGTTGGATATCTCCCATGCCTTTGACTCCTTGTCTTGGCCTTTCTTATTTGAAGTGCTCTGTGCCAAGGGATTTGGAAGTCGATGTCTCGGATGGTTGGCGGTGCTGCTGCAATCCTCGAGCACCAGAGTGCTGGTTAACGAAGTACCGGGAAGGAGAATTTGGCATGCAAAAGGACTGCGACAAGGGGACCCGGTCTCCCCTCTACTTTTCATCATCGCCATGGAGGACCTCACGGCCATGATCTCTAAAGCCATGTCTGATGGTGTTTTGAGCTCCTTCACCGGAATTACGGCGATGTAGCACCTATCCATATATGCGGACGATGTGGCACTATTCGTCAAACCTACACCCCAGGATCTCCTATTTGTCCGAGTCACGTTGCAGCTATTTGGAGAAGCCTCGGGTCTGATAGTAAACTACAGGAAATCCTCGACGATCTAGATCTCTCAGGATCAGGAAGACAAAGCAAGAGTCAAGCCGATACTGCAGTGCCCCATTGGAGAATTCCCGTGCAAGTATCTTGGGCTGCAGCTGGCCATCGAGCATCTCACCAAGGCACAATGGCAGCCTCTCTTAGATCAAGTTCGGCACTGCCTTCTGGCTTGGCAGAGAGGTTTATTGCAGAGATCAAGTCAGCTTGTTCTTGTCAAGTCAGTGCTTGAGGCGAGACCAGTGCATCAATTGCTCGTAATGAAGGCCCCAGGTTGGGTTTTGGAGGACATCGATGGATGGATGCGCGCGTTTTTCTGGGTAGGAAAAGATCGAGTTAAGGGAGGCTAATGCGTAGTGGCATGGAGTTCAATCTGTAAGCCAACCTGTTTCGGTGGTCTTGGGGTGAAAAACCTAAGTCTGCAAGCGCTGGGACTCAGGGTGCGCTGGGAATGGTTGCGGCGTACGGACCCGCAAAGGCGTGGCATGGATTGGAGCTTATGGTGGACAACGATGCTAGACAAGTCTTTGACAGTTTGGTACAGATCACCGTGGGCAAAGGAAATAAGGTACTTTTCTAGAGAGATGGATGGATCCATGGCTTCTCCGTCAGAGATATTGCGCCCACGCTGGTGGCCGGTGTGGAAACGAGGATCGGGAATTCCCGTACGGTTGCTCAGGCCTTGGAAGATGAGAGATGGGCACTCGATGTCCAACCACAGGCTTCTTTTGGGGCACTTCTACAAACTGTCCACCTGAGGCATGCAGTCGCCACAGTTCAACGAGATGTGCACATGGAGGATATCTTTGCTTGGCCGCATGACCCTTCGGGCATGTATACAACGAGATCCACCTACGCCAAACTTAATCAGGGCGCGATTAGATCACCTACTGCTGCTGCGATTTGGCGTAGCTGGGCACTGCTAAAGTGCAAGATCTTTGCTTGGCTCGCTGTGCAACACCGGCTTTGGACATCCGACAGATGGACGCGACATGGGTTGCAGGACAACACCTCGCCTTGCTACACTTGCTTGCAGGAGGAGGATACAGTTGAGCACATTGTGGTGCAGTGTGTTTATGCTCGCCAGGTGTGGCACACGTGTTTTGACTCCCTACAAATCAATGTCCTTCCTTCCAATAGCACGGACACACTTGTGGAGTGGTGGCTTAGGGATCGCTCTGGTTTCCAAGGGAAGCACAAGCGAGGTTTTGACTAGGTCGTCATCGACGCGGCTTGGATGCTGTGGAAGCAAAGGAACGCCAAGGTGTTCAATCGACCAGAGCAAGCTAAAGACTACAATGAGCTAGCTAGAGCCATCCTTGAGGAAATCCGCGAGTGGTATATAATTCAGGTGTGGGTGCGGGTGGATTATACCGTTTTTTGCGAGATCACACTTGATTTTCTTGTAGATGGGTGTGAGTGGGTGCTCGAGCGATGGATGTTCGCATCGATCGCACGAATCTTGTAAACTGTCTTTTTCCCTTCTATAAAAATACAGTACGCTATTGGCTTACTCTCGAAAAAAAAACATTCGGCTCAGGTCTTAGTCGGCGTCTGACTGGAGGCAACCCAAAGAATTCTAGTGAGCTGTCCAGCTCGATGGATAAGCCTGAACAGCTCGCCGTTGCTGCCGCCATTGTTGACCAGTGCGTAGAGCGGGAAGACATGGCGGCGTCGGAGCTACACTTCTTGCTGGTACCGCTAGTGGCGCAGGGCCACATCATCCCCATGGTGGACCTAGCTCGCCTCCTCGCCGCGTGGGGGCCGCGCGTCACCGTCGTCACCACACCTGTCAACGCCGCGCGGAACAGAGCCACCATCGACGGAGCCAGGAGGGCGGGCCTCGCCGTCGAGCTCGTGGAGCTCCCCTTCCCCGGCCCGCAGGTGGGGCTGCCGGAGGGGCTGGAGAACCTCGACCAGCTGCTCGACGACGTCAGCAGTACCATGTACCTCGCCTTCTTCCAGGCCGTCTGGAAGATGGCGGAGCCGTTGCAGGGGTACGTCTGTGCGCTGCCGCGCCGGCCGGACTGCATCGTCGCCGACTCGTGCAACCCGTGGACGGCGGGCGTTTGCACGGCGCTCGGCATCCCGAGGCTGATGCTGCACTGCCCGTCCGCCTATTTCCTCCTCGCCGTGCACAACCTGTCCACTCCACGCACGGCGTGTACGACCGTGTCGGCGACAACGAGACGGAGCCGTTCGAGGTGCCGGACTTCCCGATGGGCGCCGTCGGGAACACGGCCATGTTCCGGGGCTTCTTCCATCACCCCGGCGTGGAGAAGGAGCAGCGCGACATTCTCGATGCCGAGGCCACCGCTGATGGCCTGCTGATCAACACGTTAGGCGGCGTCGAGGGGATCTTTGTCGACGCGTATGCGGCGGTGCTCCGCAAGAGGACGTGGGTTCTCGGGTCGACGTGCACCTCTGGCATCTTGGACAAGGACGCCGACGCCATGGCCGACCGCGGCAACCACGCCGACGTCGATGTCGGCCACGTCGTCTCATGGCTCGACGCCCGGCCACCGGCGTGTGCTGTACGTCAGCTTTGGCAGCATCGCGCAGCTGCCAGCGAAGCAGCTCGCCGAGCTCGCGCGCGGCCTCGAGGCGTCAGGGCGGCCGTTCGTATGGGCCATCAAAAGGGCCAAGGCCGGCATCGGCGTGAAGGCGCTGCTCGACGACGAGGGGTTCGAGTCGGATAATATTTGAGAAGGCATATGCTTCGGAGCGCCTCTATCCTGGCTGCATGTATTCCTCGGGATAGACGAGGTCATGGCACGGTCAAAGCTCATCTTCAGGTTTTGCAGTTCATAATCACGTTGGTGTATACAGGTTGTCCACTGTGATCAATCTACGAAGTGGTAGGCCACTGCTCCCCTGACCCTGCTACATGCTACCTAGACAAAAGACACCAGGAAGTGGACAAGGACAAGAAAACTCACAGAAAGTCATTGTGCGCATGCGCGGAAGAGTTCTCTCTCTTTATCTGTCATGTCCTTGCTAGCATTTGGGTTGTGTTGCAGAGAAAGAGGGACGCCGCAGATTGGACCGCCATTAGAGGGCTGGCTACTCCTTAGTTGAGAAAAAATTGTGGGCTTTGAATGAGAGAGAACTTGGGGCTGAGGGAACAACTCGCTTTGAGAAATTGAAGGGAGAGAACCTGTGAGAGGAGTGAGAGAGAGAAACAGTGTCATTCTGAACTTGCTATTTTTTAACTTGAGTGTGAGAGTATGAGAGAAAGCTTTTATTTTCGTAGGTAAAAGAGAGCTTGTGCAGTATATGAGAGGGTGAGAAAAGAGATAGCTTGTGTGAGAGAGATTGAGCATGCATGTGACAGAGTTTTGAAGGAGAGACATGCATGGACCTCATACAATAATGCTTTTGTGCTGGGAGATGCTGGCACTGTGTGGAAAACAACAAAACCCTACAGGTCTACTGCCGGCCACTATTCTTGGAGGAGGACCTACGAAGTAGACCTACAGAACTACTCCTGCTAATCGAGAGTTTAAGCGCCCACAAGTTCTCCTTGCATCTCGAGACACATAACAGTGACGGATGGCCAAGATAGCAGGGCTTCGAAGCATATGCGTGAAAAATCCGCGTCCGGTTCGAGTCGCGCGTGGAGGGCAAGGGCCTCGTCGTGCGCGGGTGGGCGCCGCAGGTGACCATCCAATCGCACCCGGCGGTGGGTGGCTTCCTCACGCACTGCGGATGGAACGCGACGCTGGAGGCCATCTCCCACGGCGTGCCGACGCTGACGTGGCCCTGCTTCACCGACCAGTTCTGCAGCGAGCGGCTGCTCGTGGACGTGCTCCGCATAGGCATCAGGTCGGGCGTCAAGGTGCCCGCCAAGAACGTCCCCAAAGTGGCCGATGGCGTCCAGGTGCCGAGCGGCGACGTGGAGAAGGCCATTGCCGAGCTGATAGATGGCGGGCCCGAGAGGACGGTGAGGAGCTCCAGAGCCAAGGAAGTTGCCAGGGAGGCGAGAGCGGCCATGGAGGAAGGCGGGTCGTCGTACTCCGACCTGACGGACATGATCCGCTACGCCTTGGAGCCGTCGAGAAAAAGGAGCCACGAGAGGGACACAAGCTCGATGACCCATCCTCTCACGGCGGCAGAGCTCCGAAGCAACGACGGCGAGAAGATCGAAGCCGGTGCTCCATTGTCACTACAGTCCTAAGCTGTATAACTCATCATCGGATTGTAAAGCTAGTTTTTTAGGCATTGCAAAGATATTACTAGTTGTTATAAAACTCATATTGTACATGCGCTTGCAAAATTTGGGCAACAAATGTATAAATGTAGTATAGAACGCGAATGAGCTTTTTTTAATCTGATAATAACAAAATTAGTTGCCAAGTATAACAATTTTCATGCTTTAGTTTATTTTTGTCACAAAAAATTGCCGTGTTTGCTAACTAATTTGTCATCTCGTGTTGGATTATGGATGGGCTTAGGCCCATATAAGACACTAATCCCTAGTTAATCTTCAGGCCCATGTATGAGATGGCAGGTGGTGGAAAGTTTAGTCCCACCTTGCTAGTTGAGGAGAGTTGAGATCCCTTTATAAGGAATGCTCTACCACTTGCCATTGGGAGCTTTGGAAGAGGAGTGGTACACGCGCGCTCCTCATCGACACCATGGCTGACGCCGCCGCCGCTAAGAAGAAAGCCACGGACGACACCGAGGCTGCTGCTACCGCCGCCGCGTTGGCCTGGCCAACTGGAGGGTATGATCTGTTCATCCCTCGTTTACTCGTACTTATGCTAGCCGTATATGTGCTGCTCATAAAAGGTTCGATTCTATGTTCTATACGTGCTAGTATGCTTAGGTATCGCTATGAGATGCATACCTTTTATGCCATGCTTATCATTTACTCGTGGATAAGTCTAATCGGAAAAGTGCTAATATTTCCGACAATCCAAAAACCTTATTTTAGGCACTTTTCGATTCAAGGCTTTGCTGCTACTCTGAAACCAGAAAAGTTTACCGGGACGCATTTCAAGCGTTGGCAGACTAGGACCACCTTGTGGCTCACATTGATGAATGTGTTCTGGGTTGATGGTGTGTCCCTCACAGAAACGATTGCTCCTGAACAGGAGAAGGCGTCTAGCACCAATGTGGTGCAGAAGAACTTCCACAAGTTCAAGGGAAAGAACTCTGTCCAGCAGAATACTGCCTTTAAGAAAAAGGGTAAGAAGAAAGACAAAAGGAGAGATGGCTGCTTTACTTGTGGTTCAGATGAACATTGGGTAAAAAAGTGCCCAAACAAGTACAAGAAGCCAGCATAGGACTCCAAGTCTGTGAATGTCACTCTGAGTAACAATGATGCGGCATCTGGGTATGGTAATCTGTTTACCATACTTTCAGTTTGTCAGTCCACCGATTGGTGGATTGACACTGGGGCCAATATTCATGTGTGTGCTGATGTGTCTTTGTTTTCTTCTTACTAGGTCGCACTGTTGGGGAACATAGTAATTTCAAAAATTTCCTACGCACACGCAAGATCATGGTGATGCATAGCAACGAGAGGGTAGAGTATTGTCTACGTACCCTCGTAGACCGGAAGCGAAAGCGTTAGCACAACGCGGTTGATGTAGTCGTATGTCTTCACGGCCCGACCGATCAAGCATCGAAACTACGACACCTCCGAGTTCTAGCACACGTTCAGCTCGATGACGATCCCCGGACTCCGATCCAGCAAAGTGTCGGGGAAGAGTTCCGTCAGCACGACGGCGTGGTGACGATCTTGATGTTCTACCGTCACAGGGCTTCGCCTAAGCACCGCTACAATATTATCGAGGACTATGGTGGAGGGGGGCACCGCACACGGCTAAGAGAATGATCACGAAGATCAACTTGTGTGTCTATGGGATGCCCCCTGGCCACGTATATAAAGGAATGGAGGAGGGGAGGGGCCGGCCCTCTCTATGGCGCGCCCTAGGGGAGTCCTACTCCCACCGGGAGTAGGATTCCCCCTTTCCTAGTAGAACTAGGAGCCCTTCCAAATTGTAGGAGTAGGAGGGAAGGAAAGGGAAGGGAAAAGGAGAAGGAAGGAAGGGGGAGCCCCCCTTCCCTAGTCCAATTCGGACCAGACCAAGGGGAGGGGTGTGGCCACCCTTGAGGCCCTTTTCCTTCTTTCCCGTATGGCCCAATATGGCCCAATACGTATTCCCGTAACTCTCCGGTACTTCGAAAAATACCTGAATCACTCGGAATCTTTCCGATGTCCGAATATAGTTGTCCAATATGTCGATCTTTACGTCTCGACCATTTCGAGACTCCTCATCATGTCCTTGATCTCATCCGGGACTCCGAACTCCTTCGGTACATCAAAACTCATAAACTCATAATATAACTGTCATCGAAACCTTAAGCGTGCGAACCCTACGGGTTCGAGAACAATGTAGACATGACCGAGACACGTCTCCGATCAATAACTAATAGCGGAACCTGGATGCTCATATTGGCTCCCACATATTCTACGAAGATCTTTATCGGTCAGACCACATAACAACATATGTTGTTCCCTTTGTCATCGGTATGTTACTTGCCCGAGATTCGATCGTCGGTATCTCAATACCTAGTTCAATCTCGTTACTGGCAAGTCTCTTTACTCGTTTCGTAATACATCATCTCGCAACTAACTCATTAGTTGCAAGGCTTTAGGTGATGTGCATTACCGAGAGGGCCGAGAGATACCTCTCCGACAATCGGAGTGACAAATCCTAATCTCGAAATACACCAACCCAACAAGTATCTTCGGAGACACCTGTAGAGCACCTTTATAATCACCCAGTTACGTTGTGACGTTTGGTAGCACACAAAGTGTTCCTCCGGTAAACGGGGGTTACATAATCTCATAGTCATAGGAACATGTATAAGTCATGAAGAAAGCAATAGCAACAAACTAAACGATCAAGTGCTAAGCTAACGAAATGGGTCAAGTCAATCACATCATTCTCCTAATGATGTGATCCCGTTAATCAAATGACAACTCATGTCTATGGTTAGGAAACGTAACCATCTTTGATCAACGAGCTAGTCAAGTAGAGGCATACTAGTGACACTCTGTTTGTCTATGTATTCACACATGTATTATGTTTCCGGTTAATACAATTCTATCATGAATAATAGACATTTATCATGATATAAGGAAATAAATAATAACTTTATTATTGCCTCTAGGGAATATTTCCTTCAGTCTCCCACTTGCACTAGAGTCAATAATCTAGTTCACATCGCCACGTGATTTAACATCAATAGTTCACATCACCATGTGATTAACACCCATAGTTCACATCGACATGTGACCAACACCCAAAGGGTTTACTAGAGTCAATAATCTAGTTCAAATTGCTATGTGATTAACACCCAAAGAGTACTGAGGTGTGATCATGTTTTGCTTGTGAGAGAAGTTTAGTCAACGGGTCTGCCACATTCAGATCCGTAAGTATTTTGCAAATTTCTATGTCAACAATGCTATGCATGGAGCTAGTCTAGCTAATTGCTCCCACTTTCAATATGTATCCAGATTGAGACTTAGAGTCATCTGGATTAGTGTCAAAACTTGCATCGACATAACCTTTTACGACGAACCTTTTGTCACCTCCATAATCGAGAAACATATCCTTATTCCACTAAGGATAATTTTGACCAATGTCTAGTGATCTACTCCTAGATCACTATTGTACTCCCTTGCCAAACTCAGGGCAGGGTATCAATAGGTCTGGTACATAGCATGGCATACTTTATAGAACCTATGGTTGAGGCATAGGGAATGACTTTCATTCTTTCTCTATCTTCTGCCATGGTCGGGTTTTGAGTCTTACTCAACTTCACACCTTTGTAACACACTCAAGAACTCCTTCTTTTACTACTTCAAAATCTTGTCAAGGTATGTACTCATTGAAAAACTTATCAAGCGTCTTGATCTATCTCTATAGATCTTGATGCTCAATATGTAAGCAGCTTCACTGAGGTCTTTCTTTGAAAAACTCCTTTCAAACATTCCTTTATGCTTTGTAGAATAATTCTACATTATCTCTAATCAACAATATGTCTTTCACATATACTTATCAGAAATGATGTAGTGCTCCCACTCACTTTCTTGTAAATACAGGCTTCACCACAAGTCTGTATAAAACTATATGCTTTGATCAACTTATCAAAGTGTATATTCCAACTCCGAGATGCTTGCACTAGTCCATAGATGGATCGCTGGAGCTTGCATATTTTCTTAGTACCTTTAGGATTGACAAAACCTTCTGGTTGCATCATATACAACTGTTCTTTAATAAATCCATTAAGGAATGCAGTTTTGTTTATCCACCCGCCAGATTTCATAAAATGCGGCAATTGCTAACATGATTCGGACAGACTTAAGCATAGATACAAGTGAGAAACTCTCATCGTAGTCAACACCTTGAACTTGTCGTAAACCTTTTTGCGACAATTCTAGGTTTGTAGATAGTGACACTACTATTAGCGTCCGTCTTCGTCTTGAAGATCCATTTAATATCAATGGCTCGCCAATCAATGGGCAAGTCAATCAAAGTCCATACTTTGTTCTCATACATGGATCTCATCTCAGATTTCATGGCCTCAAGCCATTTCGCGGAATCTGGGCTCATCATCGCTTCCTCATAGTTCGTAGGCTCGTCATGGTCAAGTAACATGACCTCCAGAACAGGATTACCGTACCACTCTGGTGCGGATCTCACTCTGGTTTACCTACGAGGTTCGATTGTAACTTGATCTGAAGTTACATGATCATCATCATTAGCTTCCTCACTAATCGGTGTAGTAGTCACAGGAACAGATTTCTGTGATGAACTACTTTCCAATAAGGGAGCAGGTACAGTTACCTCATCAAGTTCTACTTTCCTCCCACTCACTTCTTTCGAGAGATACTCCTTTTCTAGAAAGGATCCATTCAAAGCAACGAATATATTGCCTTCGTATCTATGATAGAAGGTGTACCCAACATTTTCTTTTGGGTATCCAATGAAGATGCACTTCTCCGATTTGGGTTTGAGCTTATCAGGTTGAAACTTTTTCACGTAAGCATTGCAACCTCAAACTTTAAGAAACGACAGCTTAGGTTTCTTGCCAAACCATAGTTCATATGGTGTCATCTCAATGGATTTAGATGGTGCCCTATTTAACGTGAATGTAGCT